ACTCCATATTGTTTTTGAACATAAAAAGAAAACAAAAACGGTCATACTATGTCAAACAATTTGTTTATTTAGGAGATTCTGCAATATAAACCTATTGTTATGACAAAACCATTAACTACTTGAAAAATTCACCCCAAGTTTATTCAGCATTTATGAAAAATTACTTCCCACACAAAAAATGACTCAGAACCACATACAAGTTGTTTGTTTCCTCCATTATTATCAGTTTAAGGGAAAGAAGGCAACCATGTAATATGCATGATAGTGAATTATGATTTTTGACACAATTGAGATGATACATAAACCTTTTTGAGTATACCTGGATGTGTTGATTACAAATAAACATTTGAAATGCATGATTTGCTGAATTATCTGTGACATGCTCAAGTGGACATTTTATTGGCAGTAGAAGGTCAGCACGCTCTCCTGGTTCCCTCTGACCATTAGCACTGGTGGCCTAAGATCCCTGGACAATATGTCGAGCCAGGCAAGGTAAAGAGTGCTGGGACACACTCCTCTCCTCCCCACCGGCATGGTGCTGCCAGGAGATATAGCAGATCTATTACAATTTGCTTTAATTTCCAAACATCTATGGGGACTCAATTTTCCTTTTTTGTATATTTTTCAAGCAGAAAACATGGACATGTTACACTCACATGATGATGAGCGCAGCCTCTCTGGAGTAGTCCTGCAGCACCTCGTTCAGACGGACCTGACGGAGAGACTGAAGGCCACACAAAGATTAGTTTAAAAGGAGGAGAACACATGAGGAAAACGGATTTTTCTAAAACGATTCTCTGAGGGGTGTCAGACCTTGACCCTGTTCCGCTCAAAGTCCTGCTCCGTGATCATCCAGGGCGCCGCCTGCTGACCGATCGGCCCAGACTCTGACTCCTGTTTGGGTTTGGAATCTAACCTGAAGCGGCCGATCATGTTCTCAAACTGATGGATGCTGGAACAAGGAGACATTCAGAGGTTAAGACCATGATTATACAATAGAGGTCTGGAACAACTGGGAATGCTTGTCTTTTCATCTTCAAAAGGCAACGTCACATCCAAAAAAACTCTTTCAACAATCTGAGGATTCTTGTTGGGGGGTGTTTTGCTTCCCCCTAGGGGAACGATCAAATGGAAAGTTGTATCATGTCCTAATATGTGATGTTGTGTCATGTAGCATTGTGCCAAAAAAAACAAACAAGAAAAAACATCAGAGAATAGAATAGCTTTGTTCATATTAATGTACAAAAAAAAATCTGAAAAGCATTACTCACCAAAAGAATAAAAGGAAGCCACATGTAAATGTGTTCAAAATCCATTTTTCGCTATTAGCTGTAAACATCAGAGGTGTCCCAACAGGCCTTATAGGTGCTTCAAATACAATCATGTTTACTTCTCCTTTATGGTATTATGCAGTGTAGTGTAAGTAAGTTAAATGTTCCTGATGATCATATTTAATATCAGTATAAGGAGAAGAACAGATCTTTTTTATTATTTCTCAGGGGTCAGATACTCACTTCATGGGCTGAGGAGCCTCGTAGATGTCAGGAAGCACTTCGACATCTTGGAAACCAAGACGGAACCTCTTGATCAGGGACAGGACCCTCAAAAGAAAGTGCAGAACTCATAAAGATTTGGACACTTTGAACAGTGTGTCATATTTGAAACTAGAAAAAATAAGTGCTTTTAGTCACAAACTTAACAAAATTAGCACTAAAATCAACATTATTATACAATCAATAGATCAGAGTTGTAGATAAATGTTGTATGTTAATCTAAAGAATGAGTCTGAAGTTTCATTTAATTTATTTCTGCTCAATTTTTTTGTTTTAGGGACTTTAGCCTCTCTGTTTTGTTCTCCCTTCACAGTTCTGTGCATGCACAGATTCAACTTTATCCCATTTGAATTGAGATGATGGAAGTTTGCTTTCTTGTAGAGAAGATTATTTTAAAAAATCGCATCTTTGTTGACATGCAGACTGTCATTCAGTGCAAACAGTTTCTGTATTTTAGGCCAGTATTTTCTGGTATGAAATCTACAATGGCAATATATAATTCACCAGTATTCACCTACTATTAACTTACTAATATCAAACAAATGATGGATAATTCCTCTATGGACACTTACTCCTCCCTCTGCTGCTCCTTCTTGTCAGAATCTCCTCCCACGAACACTCGGACCTTACACCTGGCCCAGCGCTTCCTGCGGGTCAGCAGGTATGGGAGCAGCAGGGTCAGACCTGGAGGCCACACACACGCAGCGGTCAGGAAACCTGCGGGAAATTCCTAATTCCACGCTGACCATCAGAGACATAACCCCACCTCCATCATCGGACAGCCAGTACACATCAATGGTCTTCTTCCCTTGTTTATTCTGAAATGCGGTAGTGACCTCGGGTTGGGCTTCGGTCACCACAGAGGCTGGAAAAGATCAACGAGCAGTTGTTTTTATTTTCACAGAAGTTCACAAAAAAAATAGAGATTTTCCAAAAATGAAATCGTCCCTGTTAGTTGATCGTGTGTGCACTTACATGAAGAGGTTGTTTGAATGCTGTATCTGGCAGGGCTGGTGTCCAGGGTGTCCGTTCCTCCGTCAAAACCTCGATTAACTGGAATAAAAAACAAATTTTTCTGCACGCGTTCATTGACTTTTTGTCAGTGGCATAAAGGACGATGGATGACCGTGGGCTGCACTCCCCTCTACAGCTCTTGTCAACCGCAAACAAAAGTTGTCAGGAGTTTACTGACCGCGTAAAACTCATTTTGTTCAAAAGTCTCTCACCGTGTGCCTGAGATGGGCGGCTGATGTCCAGCCCCTCTTTCATTCTGAGCACGCACACCCCATACTGGAGGTCGAAGGCGTCACTGAAACCCACACGGAGTTTCTTTGGCATGTGTTTTCATGAAAAGCTTTGGATTTCATACTCGTATAACTCTTTCTAAGCGAGTTCTTCTCACTGTACTCACTGCAGTATTCCTATGTAGTTATGCGCCTCCTGAGGGGAGTCACTCCGCCAGCCTTTTTTAAAACCCATCAGCAGAACGTTTGGCTTCATGCGACCCAGACCTGACCCCTGGTGGACGGCAGATGGAGAGGAGAAGGTTTCAGTAAGGATTTGAAACACAACACAAAACCTTAACTGGCCCCCCAAAAAATAAATAAATAAATAAAAAAGCCACTGCACACATGAAAACGCAACAGCATTAATGACTTTAGTAAAAGGTTGTAGCTTTAGCGGGATAGCTGCAGCATCTTAAGATGATAACAGTTAGAAATTTGCATAAAAGTTGAATATATATATAAAATAATAAATGGAAATAAAAAATAAATAACTCTGCTTTTTGAAACACAACGCATAAACCTTAAATGGCCCAAAAAACAAAAAAACACTGCACATATGAAAACGCAACAGCATTAATGACTTAGTAAAAGGCTGTAGCTTTAGCAGGATAGCTGAAGCCAGAATGAATGAAAACATAAGATGATAACAGTTAGAAATTTGCATAACAGTTAAACATATATAAAAAATTTGAATAAAATATAAAAGACATTATAGAGTAGTGAAAGGAATACGTGAATCAAATATTTAAAGATATTATTGTCACTTTGAGGAGCTGTCTTCAAACACAAATTAAGCTCTTGTGGTTTATCCTAAAACAAAAATCTGAAATTTTTCATTTAAACAGTTTGATGGTAGGCTTTGGTAGCTGGGCCCCATTAGCATGACAGTGGAAACGTCAGTGTCTCATTGGGCTTCTGAAAAACAGATCACGTGAGATGTTCTGAGCTCTGACCTGCAGCAGCATGCTGACCCCAGCCCGCAGCTCATTGGCCACCACCCCTCTGTAGAAGGACCGGACCTTCCTCCGGTTCAGCCAGGACACGTGGGCACTACCGCTGGCCTCCTCGTACACGGATGGAGAGGAGCCGGCCTGAGAAAGAGAGGAGCGGAAACAACAGAAACGATCCCAACGCGCTTCTGTGGAACGCAGTCCCTTTTTTGATGACCGGGTTTGGGAGCTGGACTCACAGTGACCACGTTGCCGCACATCATGAGACTGAGGTGTTTGGTGAAACAGCTGACGAGGTCCACGAGAGCCGGCCGGCTGCTGGGAGGACCGGTCAGCACCAGACACTGAGGTCTGGAAGAATCAGAGCAGTTTAGGCCTCAGATCCTGAGGACAGTATTTTTAATCTGATAGTCTGTATTT